TCTTGAGTGGGTAGTGCAGTCCACATAGACAAGCAGTTAGAAAAAAGCTCCTCTATCATAATTTTGTGCATGTATGTGTGTGGAGAAGGGGGTGAGGAAGGGATATTATTTGAACTTGAAGCACCAGTGACATTGTAAAAAAGATACTCCACTGATTTTAAGGGAAAGGAGAAGGTGGTTTTTCAAAAGCATGTAAAGCAACCACTATGAGTTGTGACTGAAAAGCCATAGGAGGTCAGTGCACATTCTTGGCACACACAAAATAAGCTGATGGGTAAAGTATATCTTAATAAGCACATGCTAATTTACACAAGGCACATGAGTAGATATTTTAAAGCAGGCATAGGCAAACTCAGTCCTCCAGATGTTTTGGGACTACAACTCACATCATCCCTAGCTAACAGAACCAGTGGTCAGGGATGACGGGAGTTGTAGTCCCAAAACATCTGGTGGGTCGAGTTTGCCTATGCCTGTTTTAAAGCATAGGAAGAAATGATATACTGAAGTGGAATCTTGGGCTTTGTACCAATGTACTGACAAGATCTGTACACAGCAAGTCAATAACAGAACCTCTCTGATAGCAATATGTTATGCTTAAATGATAGGTATTGCAGCAGATAGCCACTATATAATGAACCCACGAGAACAGTGGTAAACGGAAAGCATTTCCAAATCAATAGTTCTGACTGACAGGGCTTGGGGAACAGACTCTAATTTCTGCCAAAGTGTCCAAAACTTTCAGATATGTTTTGTATTCACTGATTATTCTTTTTTGTCATTCTTTAAATATTCTCAACTTAAAAAGTGTTCCCCACAATATACTCAAACAATTTTATCCCACCTTTCCACAATTATAAATCCAAGTTTTGCAAACAACAATACAAAATAACAATTACAATATAATAAAAGTTAAAAAAATAAAACTATACAAACATATAACGCAAGCCACTAAAAAGCAGTAGTCAACTTCAGTAATAAGGTTCTTCTGTTTAGCTTCATCACAAGGATGATGATGCTCATATGGAAGGATCTTGGCAGTGAGATGCCTCAATGGAAACCCACTGCTAGTGTGTCTTTCATGTAGTTTAACTAAAGGCTTATGCCAGACACAGTTAGTGAAATGTGGGTTTCAATATTTACTCATGCAATGTTAAGTTGACAATGCTTTTAGAGAAGTTATACATCATTGCATCTAATTTTTATTTACATTTTTCCCTGGTTTTTACAACAAGGACAGAAAGAGGTAGAATACCTGAAGTGTGCAGTTTAGAATATGCCCTAAAGTTCTCTGGAGAAGACAGGATTCACTGTGAGTTGGACATTTGGAAGCCACTATGCAGAAAACTATTAAGTTACATTCATAATTGTTGATAGCTGACAGGCCCCGTTGGGACTAAAAGCAGGTATCCTGGTTTCCTTTTTTGGCTACTCCATGTAATGAGCCACCATGGCTGAAGCCGAGAGAATCTTCTTAGGCAGTGAACTGTTGGATCTCCCATGCTCAAATTTGCTCCCCACCCACCCATGCTGGCCATTGGTTCTTCCAAGACAGGACAAAGTATAAAATCTTCCTATCTGGACTCAGGTGTGTTCTTCAGCTTTGCCTCCTGGATTTGTCCCTCATCCTTGACTCAACACCTAGTTCCCAGCACCTGGCTTTCCTCTGACAGCAGCTGACAACTGTCTTCAATGTATAAGCAGGGTCTTATCCAGTTAGGAGATTTGTTCATTTCCTGTCTTTCATTGAAGTAGTTGCTGCTTAAGGCTAGGTTTTAGTTTTTTGCATTACAGCTTATGTGCTTTACATAAGAGATGTTCCGTATGGCGCAATGTATGAGGTCTTACAGTCAGGCATAAAAAAGGCAGCATGTGGAAACAGCCTCCCAGAGGGAAGGTAATGTGTAGCTCATCTCTTAGTCAAAAGACAAGAATGACTTTGTTTATTTCTGTGGCGCTATAGCTGTTAAAACAGGATGTCTGGCTATCTTATATTGCTTCCTTTTATTTCATCTTAGGCAGAAACATGAGCTGGACATTTCTTGGAATAGCCTCTACTTACTTGGCAGACTCGGTGGAGATTTATGATGGTGGCTGTTAGGAGGTCACTAAGTCTGATAAATGTGTAGGTCAGGCATAGGCAAACTCGGCCCTCCAGATGTTTTGAAACTACAATTTTCCCATTATCCCTGACCACTGGTCCTGTTAGCTAGGGATGATGGGAGTTGTAGTCCCGAAACATCTGGAGGGCCAAGTTTGCCTATGCCTGGTGTGGATTGTGGGCATCATGAACTGTTATTTTTATGCACTTCTTTTACTTATTTATTTATTTACAAAAACAGACTAAGGGGGCAAAAGGGGTAGATTATTTTCTATTGTTCTTTGATAGGAATGAATACTGACGAGCCTGAGTTACAAACCCTGCAGTCCTTTGTATGATTACTTAACCCATATTTCAAACACCTGATTTCTAAAGGAAATGTTACCAAGGCTATTCTGTTTGAATTATTATCAGTATTAATACCGGCATTTATTTATTTATATTCCACTGAATGCCAAAATAGGCTTCTAAGTGCTTTGCAAATTTCATTATGTTCTTAGTGGATGTGTGCAGATAGATTTGTAATTACTTTCACTAAAAACCCAACTCTGCAAGCCATTTATATTGTTTGCTTGAAAATTGAACAAGTCTCTTCCTGTCTCTTTCTGCAAGATCCTTATGGCCACCACCAGCCATTTGAGGTGAAGAACAGGACTAAAATAGTACCTACTGAGAGATAGTGTAATATGAGACTAAGGCCAGATTTCTTAAATCAAAAAACCACCCAGGGAACTCCATGAATAGCAATACAAGTCTTCTGGAAATGTCTATTAACTTATAAAGACAACCAAATTATATGGGAGGGACCCCATTACTCCATATGATAGCTCACACTTTTCACTGTGTTAAGTTTTATGATGTGGCTTACTATGATGTGGCCTTTTATGCTGAGGAAAACTCCAAATCTCCTAAATGCCATTCCAATCTTCCTTGAACTGACAATTATTTAAATGTCTGTCTCGTTTAATGGACATGTACCTGCATCTAAATTGGTCCAGGGAACACATTCTTAAAGCAACTGGCACTCACAAAGGTGTCTGGAGCACTATGCATGTACTTATAACAAGCCACATCTGAACATTCAACTGTCGGCCAGTGCATTCTTGACAGGCCACCAGCCAGTACTAGCTCTGAATCACAGACATTCCAGTTTTCAATCTTACCACTGATTACAGTACATGATAGCAACGTTACACCTTGGTGATGGGAGAATTCCCACCACAAAAGTCAAGTTAGTGCTATAAACAGCATTTAAGCAATGTGTTTGTTTTTTTACTTAATTTTTTCCCCAGAGAAATAAAAAATACAGCTCTAAGAACATAAGAAGAGCCAAACCGGATCAGGTAAGTGGCCCATCTTGTCCAGCATCCTGTTTGCATAGTGACCAACCAGATATGCATGACATTCTACACCTGTCACTGCACAGTAATTTGGTGCTTGGTGGGGAATAGAGAAGAAATTGGTTCGGTCCACTTTTCACAGTGGTCCAACCCATTCCAAAGTTCTTGAACTTGCTTGATATGAAGTCTTTTAGCTTAGCATTTTCTTTTCACATGCCTGTAGTTAGGTTGGCTGAGATTATTCTTGGTCTCGGTAGATGGGCATGCCCAATTAAATGCCGGACATCCCTCCCAAATGGCAGGCCCCCAATGCCATATCACAATCTCACCTGGAACCCCAGTCTGTTTCAATATGCATTATATGAGCTGTTGTTCAAGGAATTGTGGCACAATCATATGCATATTTACTTGGAAGTAACTCCCACTCTGTGAGGCTTACTTCTTCCCTGGTTAAGTGCATTTAGTATTGCAGCCTTAGCTGCAAAGTTCTTTGGCTCATAGAAATCGCCTGCTTAAACTTTAAATACAAATGATTCTGGGTGTACTGTGTGTACATCTCTGAATTGTGCTTACAAACTGCAAGTCAGTCCAAAGAAAAGGTTGTTAATGGCATGACTGCTTGCTTGCCTTGCTTTTATGGAAGGGATATCCCTTTATTTTTGGAAAGGCAGCAGAAAACCTGTTTACTGCACTGTACATAACTTAAAGGAGTTCCTAAGAGTCTGACAGGTGTCACGTATCAGGGAGTCCTCCTTGTTGCTATAAATCTGTTACTCACAAATGAGTCACCCAACTAATAATATATTCTCTTCTTATACATTTGAAACATACACATGTATAGAACAAAAAAAATACATATTGATCACCAGTATCTCATTTTATATATATTTAAAGGTCAATATAATTCTATTAATATTGTTTACTTATTTATGTAATATATATCTCATGCCTTCAACATAAACCTTTGTGTAATATATATCACATGCCTTCAGCATAAATTCCCACGGGACCTAACCATACAAAGCCATATAAAACAGAATGCAAACAGAATATATAAAATTAAAGCAACAACAACAGCACGTTAAAATTGCTATTTTGGTTATTGCATAATTCTATTACAAGCTGGAAAATGTTTTTTATCTTAATTGCAAATACCTAGAGCAGAGCAAACATAATAGCAATGAGGAAATGATAAATATTGCATTATTTCTGAAACTGTACCACAGCCCATGTGAGTCCTTAGTTCAATATATTGGCTGGAAGATTCCCCTGTTCCCCCAGCTGTCACATTATTTAAATACAAGGTACCCTGGAGAATGAAAAACCCAGACTTACAAAGGCAGTGACAGGAGTTTATTCAGATTTATTTTTTTCTCACTACTGCAAAGTTTATCACCGCTTTTTAGTGACTGACAGCTTTACACCCTTATCTTCACCAATATTTCTCTTCATTGGGTACCGAACAAGGAAAAGATAAATATCCTTCCCAATCCCCTCTCCCCCCCCCCACAAGCAAACCCACAAAACAGAGTTAACATGTTAAAAAGAGAACTGTTACCTACCAGCTCAACTCTTCCAAAACCTCCAACTCCAAGTGTGTCAATGATGTTGAAGTCAGATAGTTTCAGGTTGGCAAAGAAGGCAGCTTCGGCTTCATATCTGGATTTTTTAATGCGAAAAAATGGAAATTTCTTAGAAGTGCAAACATGAGTGCTACATAAGTCTGTTCCTGGATGACATGCGCGCTGAACGGAGTTTACGAGCTTAATTTCCATCTTGTCTCTCAAAGTTTCTTTGTTTTCTCGCCCATTGTCTTATTGGTCCACGTTCAAAACCTATTTGCATTTCCGCCCCCAAAATAAACCAGAGGTGCCAACAGAATGTCTGTGTAATGCAAATGCTTTGCGCTATAATTCAATTCCAGTTATCAACTGAAGGCTACATCTTGACAGTTTCTATTAATCTTCTCATGAAGGTGGGAGGGGTGGGGGTTTTTTTTTGGAGGATTTTTATTTTTTTTGCTTTTCAATATTTCTGGAAGATAAAGTCTTTCATATGAGTTTCTCTTGTCCGCAAGCTGGCAGTTTCTATAAATGTTTATTGAAAGTGGCAAGATCATTAAGGTCCCCGGAGAGAAACCACAGCCAGGTTTTATGAAATCAGATCCAATAAGCTGAGAAACTGGCGTGTGGATGTCTGAAAGGAATTATTTCAGACACCCATTAACATTTCTAAAAGAACATTTCCCCCTCCTCCTGTGTTTAGAAACTCAGCCTACAAATTCAAAAGCTTTGTGGTTCCCAGATCCAGGAGTTGTCTCTCGAGTCTGTGTACAGAGAGGCTTGTAATAAGTGTGCACAGTACGAGCTATGTAAGCCATGTGAAACTGACACATGTGCGCATGCCAAAACTAAGCCTCCCAAGGGTATACCCATGCAGATCCATCTCCCAAAATAGCTTCTTCTTGTGGATTACAGTATTTTTAGAAAGGCTAAGAGGGCAAATGGGAGAACAGGTTCCACTCACTTACTGAAGTTTCATCTGGGAAGTACTTGGGTGCCAGAAAAAGAAAAGACCTCACGCATGTGCTGCCACCTTTGTTCTTCAGAAACTGTATATGGTTCTAACATTTACCATGTACAGAACAGATGGTTTCTCAAGCATTCCAAAACAGACTATGTGTAAGGTCACATGGGCTAACTAAGTAAAAATTAGAGGGTACTTATTTAGCCATGCCCTTTTAGCTCATTTATTCCAGCTGGATGTAGGTGTCTTCCTGAATCACACTCAAAAGCGCTTAAAAAAAGAAGTATACTCCTTTAGGTTTCAAAAACAGGTGACCAGAAGAAACTCTTGGGCATTTAAAACTAGTTACACCCTCGTCAGTGTGTTTAATTTACTAGCATTCCTAATAAAAATGTGAATGTTTGGTGTTAATGGCATTTTTTTATTAATTACACATGTTTATTTTCTGCTGGTTGTCATTACTCGGGAGCACACTAAAATGCACACCTTCAATAACCGCATTTGACTGCTAACATGACCAGCAACACACACACACGATTAGAAATGTTAAATGCATGTGCAAAGCAACCCTAAGACATTATGCTTCACTAAGGTTTCAACATTTTATTCACATTGCTAGACTAAAAAAAGAATGTAATTCTGATAGATCTTCATAAATATTATTTTTCTCCCAGTTTAATATATGTATATAGCAGTGATTCTGTCATACCTGTAACTGTTTAGAATCTAATCTATGTGTCTGGATAGGCTTGTGTAAACAAAAATGTTTTAAGCAGGTGCAAACAAGAGTTCAGCAAAGGCACCTGCCTGATGTCAATAGGCAGGAAGTTCCAAAGTGTAGCTGCCACACAATATACAAATTTCTTGCAAGCACAGATATTATTTGACACTTGTAAGCATGCAGTGCTGGTTCCACAGACTGAAACAAGTTAACCAGTGCAGATCTTTGAGCAGAGGTGTCACATGCTGACAGCAACTGCAGTTTCCAGGTAAAGTGTAAGGGAAGCCCCGCATATAGTACAGTGGTACCTTGGGTTAAGTACTTAATTCGTTCCGGAGGTCCGTTCTTAACCTGAAACTGCTCTTAACCTGAAGCACCACTTTAGCTAATGGGGCCTCCAGCTGCCGCTGCGCCACCGGAGCACGATTTCTGTTCTCATCCTGAAGCAAAGTTCTTAACCCAAGGTACTATTTCTGGGTTAGCGGAGTCTGTAACCTGAAGCGCCTGTAACCTGAAGCGTATGTAACCCGAGGTACCACTGTACATTGCTTAGGCTCTCCTTTGGTTAAAGAACTTTGTTTGGGTGGGTGGCTGAGGTATGGCCAGCTGACTTCTGTGCCCCTTGATCCACTGGTCCATTCACAAAATATGGGTTAGCTTTAAGGTAGAGAGTGTTCCCACTCTCTCTACAGCTGTTATTTTCCTTGTGTCCACTACTCAGTGGGTCCAGACATAAAGGTGGCAAGCAGCTGCAGCAAAAGTCACCATCATCCCTCTCTCTCTGGGCTTGCCATGTGGCAGTTCATGCTCTTCATCCTTTTCCCTGCTGCTTCCTGATGGACCCAGAGGGAGAAGGCTCTGGTTCTTGTGGTAGTCCCTGTTGCTGTTGCTCTCCCTTAGCTGATAATCTTATGAGCATTGAGGAGCATACACACAGTGATAAAGAAAATTCAGCCACAATGTTGGGAACTCCAATCAGGGCTCCTGTCAGCTGTTGCTGTCTGGGACTTGGGCCATGGCAGCTGCCCAACTATGTTGTCCCCTAATGGCCATAGGTGGGGAGGGGGATGCTAGAAGTCAGACGCGCAAAAGAAGATTACAAAAAGCAAAAGTAAATAGAAAAACTGCAAAAGCATATTGTGAAGCAATCCTGGTAATCCTATTTCAAAATGTTCTGATGGGAAATAAACTCCATTTGATTGTTTATTAGGTCCTTTCCATAACCTTGCATCTATGGCCAACACATTACATCTGATCTTGGAAGCTAATCAGCTCAGAGCCTGTGGTGGTTCATGGAATAACCTTGTTTGACACAGTTGCTTATTGATCATTTTACACTTGCCATGATGTGCATGCTAAAGGGGTAGAAGGCTAAAATGCTGCCAAATGGAAGATCAACTTACAAATCTCTTCATAGCCGAATTATAAAGAACATATTGTGATAGGCTTTGTAACCTAGTCAATGTACTTCACAGATCTATTTTTAATCCAGTTAGGATGCTTTTTTTAGCTCTTACATTTTCCATCATAGTTTATACTGGGATGTTTCTATTTGTAATGTAGGTAAAATGTAAAAGTAAAGGACCCCTGGACAGTTAAGTCTAGTCAAAGGTGACTATGGGGTGTGGCGTTCTTCTTGCTTTCAGGCCAAGGGAGCTGGTGTTTGTCCACAGACAGCTTTCCGAGTTATGTGGCCAGCATGACTAAACTGCTTCTGGCACAGGGAACACTGTGACAGAAGCCAGAGTGCATGGAAACACCGTTTACCTTCCCACCACAGCAGTGCGTATTTATCTACTTGCACTGGTATGCTTTCAAACTGTTAGGTTGGCAGGAGCTGGGACAGAGCAATGGGAGTTCACCCCATCATGTGGATTTGAACTGCTGACCTTTGGATCACCTTATGGTCTAAAGCAAGAGACTCTAAAGCAAAAGTCACTGCGTCCCTCTTATTTGTAATGTAACGTCACATTTGCCACAAGTTTTAGCTGAAATTACTAATCTTATTTATGTGGAAGCAAGTCTCACTAATCCAGAAACAAGTGCTTCAGAATAATCCTCCCTGTTGAGGATTACAGCAAAAGAATGGATTTGGAGGACCACACCATTCACATGATGATTACTAAAAGATAACCTGCATTTAATAAAACAGTAAATAGCCATACAAGGTCTATTCCTTAATGGAAAGACAGTTCCATATTAATGGGCTGTTAAACACATTGTCTGAATCCACTTTAAGCCTACATTGTTACAATAACATAGCATCTTGTTTCCTATGGGAAACAGGAAGCTGGAATAGATAGGCCTTTGGTGTGATGCAGCAGATTTTCCTTATGCTTGCATGTTTATACAACATCCTAGTAATCATAACCACATTCACCACCTAATTGTAGCCACACTGACAGTCCAAGAAAATGCCTACAGTGGTACCTCGGGTTAAGTACTTAATTCTTTCCGGAGGTCCGTACTTAACCTGAAACTGTTCTTAACCTGAAGCACCACTTTAGCTAATGGGGCCTCCCGCTGCCGCCGCACCGCCGGAGCACGATTTCTGTTCTCAACCTGAAGCAAAGTTCTTAACCTGAAGCACTATTTCTGGGTTAGCGGAGTCTGTAACCTGAAACATATGTAACCCGAAGTGCCACTGTATTTTACTTTTGTTCCAAACATCCTATTTTGTAGAACCCTTTAAAATGTAGCTTTTAGCTCACAGCTGCTACATATAAGTCCTTGCCTCTACTGGCCATCCAAGCACGGAGAATAATGTTTTAGATTCATGCCCTATCTATCATGAGCAAAATCAGAAAATTTGCTAGTCCTGGTGCAGTTTTTTGTTCCTCTTTATACTCCTCAATTTTTTCTCTTCAGCAAGAATTTCCAAATTCACCTGGAAATCATGCTTCATGGAATAATTGGTAGATACAATAGTGGTGCATTTTAGTCACTGTAAACCTGGTCTTATGGGAGTCTCTTGTTATAGATGGCAATGTGTATTACTTGGATTACTTCTAAACATGGTAAACCGGGTCTGCTGCATTTGAGGACCCTCTTGCAATTTTTTTCTGAATGAGGAGCAGTCTTCTGTCCCAAAGGCATTCCCTAACTATCACCCTTGCTGCCCACACAGAATTTCTTAATTGTTTCAGAACACCAAACAGGACATCTAATCCTGGTAAGAAGCAGACAATAGTCCACAACACAGTTGGGCAACTTGCATTAATGTTTTCCGGGTGCCAATACCACCCCTATGAAATTTCATTATTCCTCTCCCCCTCAAAATTCATTTTTCCTTCCAATCTAAGCTCCAAGAATTCACTTTAAACCAGATTTGGTGACCTCTCTACTCAGATACCCACAAGGACATGCACCACTTGAGTTCTAATGCTGCATGATGCAACTGGAATGACAAATT